TTGAGGAGTGAGGGGTGGGTGGTGGGTGGTGGTTTGCTGAATTGGTGGGTGTAGTGCTTAGAAGGCATAAAATTTATAAATTACTATACTGCGCTACAATAAATTTCAGTTTGCGTAAAAACGCAAAATTTATATACACAATGCAACACAGAGCAAGAGGCAAAGGGGTAGCGGGTAGCGGAGATAGCCAAGAACTGAACTGAACTGAACTGGACTGGACTGGAGTGGGCTGTGTGAGTGCAGTGAAAAACCCATTATGAATGAATTTAGTAGCAGTAGTAGCAGTGGCAGTGGAAGCAAAGAGCACAAAAACCGAAACGTGCTCGAACCACTCGTCGTATTTATACAAATTTAAGGCATTCACCCATTTGGGGTGGTTGGGCTAGCCGCGTTGTGTGAGTGCTCCAAAATTTACGACTATTTCCATGGCTGCCAGCGACGATAAACCAAACCAGTCGAAAGCAATAACGACGAGCCAATGCCAATAGAAACTGGACGACCAGAAGACCGCAAAGGACTAAACATGACTAGACTACTCTTCCACTATATAGCATCGGCTGGAAGTTAGTTGAAGGACACAACCGGACGCCACTAGACACATTGGGGCGTGGTAGGCAGTGCCGCAGACAGAGTCGTCGTCGGTGTCTGGCCTTTGCTCGTCTCTGCAGGTCAATGACAGCTAAAGTTTTGCAAAAACTAACCTCGAAACGATAAAAAATTAAAGCAACAGTAAATGGGAGACAGACAGAGAGGGGGTTGAAGGTGAGTAGTTGCCGCATCAAAATGCCGCAATGGCCTGTTATTATAATGAAAACGAAGCATAGAAACTGGTGCAGTACAAAAAGCGGCAATAAGTAGATGCTCTGGGCAAAAAAAAGAAAAACAAAAAACAGAAAATAAAAGCAGAAAAAAAGAGGGCCAGCCAGTTGCATTTGCATAACCAACGTCCAGTTGCCATTTACTTTTGAAGTGCAATGTCTGTGGAAGCCAGCAATGCCTTCAGTCCTTGGGGATCCGTATGTGTGTGTGTGTGTGTTGAGGCACTTAACATGCACATTTGAGGCATTTTCAATTCACAAACATCAGCAACAAATGTTAAAGTGTGCAGCAAAACATTTAACGAATATTATTTGGTAATCCAATGAAGTCTAACAATAAATGCAAATTGAAAATGAAGCCAGCATGGGAAAATTATATATTTAATCGGTAACATGAGCAAATCGCTGCAGAACTGTAGAAGCTTTAGGAATAATAATTACTACTCACATAATTTGATATTTACATCTATTAGCTGCCCTCTCAATGGAAGAGTTAAAGCTTTAAGTGTCTGTATCAAGCAAAAAGAAAAACGTATGCAACACATTTGTCATTTGAATCACAGCTGCAACGGAGGTGGCATCGTGGCAGCGTGAGACCATCAATATGTCGACTTTTGTTTGAATTGAGTTCTACTCTTTTTTCAACTGTTTTCTTTTTGTTTTTTTTTTTTTTTTGGCAAAACTCGTCCAGCAATTTATGCAACTTTTCTTCCATACCCATACACGTACACACAAATATATATGAATGAAAATATATTTTTTAACTCTTGGCCAAAGTTTTATTTCACTTTACGATAACTCTCATGAGTGTGTGTGTGTTTGTGGTGTACTGGCATCCAATCGCGCAGAATGCCCATCTTTTTTTTTTTTTGCATTTGCAAATGGCGCATAAGCATTTTTGCATGTTAAAAGAAAAAAAAAAATCAAACAAATATGAAAAAAAGTCGTTTGGAAACCCGACGCAAAATTTTAAACTATAGCATAATATGGGTAAACTTTTCCCAGTGTTTGTTTTTTTCTTTTATTTTATATACACATACAGTGAGTGCAAAAATGTTGTAGGCCCGTTCATTTAGGTTCTGTCCAACATTCCAGCTTTATTCGCATTCAAATTCAACTTTCGTGCCGTGCCTGGGAACATTCTTGCTGCGGCTGGGTGCCAAAAGTCAACAAATAATATTTTTGCATAAAAATCGTCGCTGTAAAAATGGAATGAAAATATGCAACTGCAACGTTGCAAGCAAGTCGCATGGTAATCGTAGAAGGACATCGGGGTAGAGAAGGCTTAAAAGCCCGCCATAGCAAACAGAACGTAATATATACGAGAGCAGATGCGACAGTGTGTGTTTATATATATACACACACACTCACAGAGATATTTGCGAGAAATCTCAATTTTCCGAGAATTTAATCAATATGTGCTTTACGCTGATTGCTCTGGCATATTGCGTACTCTGCGCCAATTGCAGTCTCAATTGGAGTTGAATTGGAGATTTTGGCTGCTTATCAATTTATGTATAAACTCAAATAGAATTTCATAAATTGTCATTTAATTGCCAAAATGCAAATGGCGCTGGGCTGCATTCAATATTCATTCATTCATTGTTATGCAATGCAATCCAAAATGCAGAATACCAAATTGAGCAACACCAGCTTATGGCTTTGACTTATGCAATGCCTTTGGCATTGCTAATCCATTCATTGTTGCGGATCAGCGCCTAGCTTAAGTTTTGCATTTGAATTTGGTAACCATTGACTAGACAATTTAGTGCTGCATTTATACAAAACAGCTGAGACCCAGTAAAATATTCCATCTGGCAACAGCAAAAACGAAATGAAACAGAACAAAACGAAGCAAATTTGTATGGCACGCAGCAAAATCTAGACAAAGCTTGGCATATATACGATAACAACAAGAACAACAATAACAACAACAACAGCAATGTTTCGTGTGTATTTAGACAATGCTAAAAAACAAGCGTAAACAAAAAACAAGAACGGCGTTCAACAAAGGCACAACAACACGGACACGTAAGCAAACTGCACAACAGCCCGAAAGTATGCTTTACAAATGTGTTACAATCGCACACTCGCCCACTCACACACACACACACACCCACACACACACACACACTGTGCTGTGCTGTGTGCGTTTTTTGTTATGTTTCTCCATATGCGTTCTTCATTCTTGTTAATTTAGCTCGCATTTGTTGACATTTCGAGGCACGCGTACAACATTTTTGCAACTGCAACAGCTAAAAACCATTTCAAAATTGGTTTAAAGTATGTAGAGAACTAATGAGCAGTCTGACTTAAGACTGGAACATGAAACTCCACCAAAAGCAATCTAAAAAAATAATGAATAGTAAAAAGATGCAGCATAATCGTCTAAGTAAAACTAAACTAAACACTAGCAAATGTTGTACGAATTTCCCTCAACGCTCTCTTTTTCTCTGATAACTAAATATAAATAAATATATTATAATTATATTTCCAATCCATCTCTCTTTCTATTGTTGATTTGTTCGCTGGCCTCTAAAACAGAAAAGTTGCAGGACAATCACATAAACCATCAGCAATTTGGCAAAAATATCCTTCAACTCTGTAATCTACGATCTCTCCCTGGCTCTCTCCTTGGCTGACACACACTGAGTTTCGACAAGTTTTAACCATTATAATGGGAAATAGCTGCTGCTATTCCAACACTTAAATGCAGCGCAGTTATAGGCACTTTATTTCAGCTCCGGCTTCCTTCGCAAATCTGCAACCGTCCACGTATACGTACATACACTCCGCGAAACTCAATTAAAGGCACTTGATTTTTTTATTATGAAATTTAAAATCACATTTAAAAATTTGCTTTTTGTTCAACAAAAGTAAGCTAAAAAAGTAAGAATTAAATTTGTAACATCAACATAACATTTTTTATGAATTTATTTTTTGTTGAAGTAAGGTTAAGGTGCAAAATTCGATTAAAGGCAATGCTAAAAAATTACTTTTTGATGTTGGTTTTTTAGCATGGTTTATTGAAGTTGTTTTTTTTTTGACTTTAGCATGTTTTTTTCCTCAGGTAAGAGTGTTTTTCCCCTTCCCATTCGAAATTTTTGTAAGCAACTAATCTGTTTTTTTGTCTAAAGCATTAAGTAAATATGTACACTTTTTTATGCCATTCAAAGAAAATCTATCTAACGCACTACTTACTTTTCCAAAGGCTTGAAAGTGACTGCCTTTATTCGAATTTCGCTACCAAACTAGCCATAAAAATGTAAAAACCCAAAAATCTTGTAAAAATTCAAAGCATCATAACAGTGTAAGAAGAAGAAGCAGCTTTAAAAAATGCACAAACGAGGTGCTTTTAGGCTGGATACAGTTGTTAGCACCATAAACACAAGTGAATTTAATCGAATTTCGCGGAGTGTATATGTGTATATGTGTATATATATATATATATATATATGCATACGTATGTGCGCCAAAAAGGCAGCAGCACTTGTTTGCTAGATTCTGGTTTTATTTTCGCTTGTATTTTTTGCATGTAGGCCCCAGCGGCAGTTTGGCATCTTTTTTCAGTCGGTTTGTTTAGTGCCGCGCTTTTATTGTTGTTGTTGTTGTTGTTGCTGTTATTGTCGACTATTTTCACTCCACTTTCGAATGTTTTTATCCCTAAAGCCTGCTTGCGGATATGCATACACACACACACACACACGCAGACACACACACGCAGACACACACAGTCAAAAAAACAAACAAACAAACAAACGTGCAAACAAACCAACGTAAATCCAACATTGAGCAAAAAGATTGTTGTAAAAACAATAAATGGCAAATGTATTGCGGCATTTTTAGGCGCATGGCCCAAAACAAAAGAGCTGCAAATTTTTGCAAAATGCTCTTGTTCTGCACCCTTCCCCCCGCCTTTTAGCACAACAAGTATATTTGTATGCCTTTTGTTGTGTTTTGGAGTTTTCATAGTTTGCATTTTTATAGCAATATGGCAAATGGAATTTTCTGTGCACGTTGCGGGCGAACCAAACATTTAAGTGAGTCAAGTGGCTTTCGCAGGGTTCATGCGATTTGCATACGACTGCCCGGCAATAGGGGAGGGGAATATGTCCCATTTGTATATGGCATATTCGAAGGGGGGGGTGGTGCGGGGAGGGTATATGCATCTAAAATACTCACTTAGATTTCCACTAGGAATGTAAACGTTGCCCGATGGCGTCCGCACCAAACACGATGGCTCAAAGTCAACGCCCAGATCATTGGGATTGTTAGCAACAGCGCCGGCAATTAAACGAGCATTATTCATGCGACTCATTGTCGGATTACGTGGCGGAACATCCGGTGGAGCTGTTGGCGTGACTCCCTCCAGGAGAAAGCCTGCAAAGAGTGACAGAGAAAGTGTGGATCAGTGAGTGGGTGGTTGAGTTACTGAGTTGATCATAAACTGTAACTCGCAGGCAGTTGAAAGCATTTTGATTTGTTTGTCTTTTGACTAGCTGGCTCAAACATAAAATATTCATTTTCAACGCAATAAAATGCAAAAGTATTTCCTGAAAGTATTTTCAGCAATTTACCTTCTTTTTTTTATTCGTTTTCACATTGCACATTTGACACTAAAAGTATGCTGTGAATTTTTAAACAACTACAAAATTGAAATTGTGGGTGAATCGCTGGATTTGTAGATATAACCGACTAGCCAGCCCGCTGGCATTCAATCAGTGCGCATTGAAACCCAGTTCGAAAATCAGGCGCAAAATAAAAATGAAATTATTTAGCAGTATTTTGGTAAATTCAATTTGTTGGCTGGGCGGTGCTAGACAAACACCGCGCCCAAAATACAAATACGAATGTACACAGATACACACACACACATACATAGACATATTATAATGTGTGTATATAGATAAAATTCAGAGAATTGCCAAGCAAAAGGCAATTTGAAAATCAAAAGCAAACTGTCTCTCCAAGCAGCAGCACGAAAAGAAATCGAAATAAAATTCAATTTGCTTCGCCAAAAAAAAAATAAAATAAGAAAATTTGAATGCCGTTGACGACGACGACGACGACAGTGCCAAACGCCTTTTTTAAGTATATACAAACAGATATATACATATATATAATTTATACATATATATTAAGGTATTCAAGTGTGTGTGTGTGTGTGCTCAATGCCAACACTCGGCAAATGCCTTCCTGGCCATGTTCAGTATAATAATAAATTTCAAAAGCATTCGCATTCATTCGCATAGAAAATTTTAAGCTCATTTATAGGCTTAAAAGACGCGACAGCATAAGTAGCCGTATTGGGGTTGGGAGTGTTATTTGGTTTGCTGCTAAACAGGATGCTCGACAAACTCAAATGCCAAAAGCAAAAACAACCAAAATCATAAAAACGCAGAAGTGCCGTCGGCCAATGGGACAAAATTCGAAATGTGTTGAGATTTACATAGCGCGAAAATTATATCCTGCTCCTGCTGCTGCTGCTGATGCTGTTGTTGACTTCCCACGCCACGAGAGTTGAGTTGAGTTGAGTTCTCCAACTCAAGCAGAAACAGCGATGACTGTTGACAGTGAGTGTGTGAATGCTGTTGCCTAGTTTGTTGGTTGCCAGGACCAAACAACAGAGACAGCCAGCCAGCACCAAATTAACCAGCACCCAACGCAGCTAAATCGCATTGCGCTAGGCTTAGACAATTTGGTTGGTTTTGGTTTGGTTTGGGCTGCTGCTGTGCAGTTGAATGAGGATTGCAGAGAGCGGGCAAGTGGCCAGCGGATTTAAGCTGCGGAAAATGTGACACCAGCTTGGGATGTGGCCTGGATGGCCACAGGGCCTGCGCATTATCATCATAATGAAACGCGCCCAACTCTAGAGAGGCTGCGGCAGGATGCTGGCTGACTGCTGCCAGGCAAAGATTATTTCACGCGGTTAAACACAGTAGCAAACTTGCCCACATTTTTCAGCACAAAATTCCAAAATTACCAAATCATGGTAGAGAGAGAGAGCGAGAGAGAGAGCGTCGCGCTCTGTCGGTCAGCTGTGATTAAAAGCGGGCAGCTCTGTCTAAAAATAATTGTGGCCTTTTGTTTTTGGCTTGTGTGTGTAATTAGATTTGAGACTTAAGGCGCTTACCGCTGATGGGCCAGCAAATTGAAATTGGCCAACAGTGCCACAGACTGAAAGTTGAGCAGGTAGCTCAACTAATGCCAGCTAAAAGCAGGCACTTTCATGCATCTGCTGCATCATCAGCATAAGCAACCAAAAGTTAAGTTCAAAAACATTAGCAATGCATTTTTAGACAAATTATTTTGCCATCAAGCGTAAAAGTTAAGCTGCACTCGATTTGGTAGCAGTTGCTCCCAGCACAGACGATGACATTATTTCGAGGAGGGGAGCAGGGCACAAGGATTGTGGCTGTTACATGCGCATTAGTTTAATATTAAACAACGAGCGGCAAAAATGTCAATTGTGGCGACCTCTCGTCTCATCCACTCCAGTTCGCAAAAGGGATTAGCAAAATACAGAGAAACCCACACACATACACAAAACAAAAAGGGACAATGCCAAACTCTGGCATACAAACAAAAGTCGCTGCAATGGTCGCCGTTCACTTTGGCAGTTGGCATTCGCATTCGTATCCGCATCCGCATCCGCAGCAGACAAACGTAAGAGCAGCCCAGGAGCAGTCAATGTGAATGCCAAGCGCTCACTTAAAGCGCACGCAACAACAGCAACAACAACAACAAGAACAACAACAGCAGTTACAAGAAAAACAACAATAACAACAACATCTGCAGACAGACCAGACCAGGCCAGGCAATGGCGCTGATAAGCAGCTTATCTTCATTTCTACAACCTCCAGCGTTTATTTTTGTGTGTGGGCGTTGTTTGTTTGTTTGTTTGTGTTGTTGTTGTTGTTGCTTGCTGTGTTGTTGTTGTTATTGTTGTTGCTGCCATTGTCGTTGTCATTTTGAATGCGAATTGTTGTCGTCGTTGTCGTTGTCGTTGTCATTGGTATTATTGTTGTTGTTGTTGTTGTTCCTGGTGCTTTCTGGGTATGCAAAATGTGTAATGGCATTTCGTCAGGCGGAGCATGGCAAAGCGACAACCAACACACTCACACACACACACACACACACACACACTGCAAATGCGAGTGTAAATGTGTGTGTTTGTGTGCGTGACAATGCAAATATGCTCTGTAGGGTATTTTTTTGGGAGATGCACAGCGTTTGATTCCCTCTGTATTTCCCCCCAGAGTGCTGATGGCCTTTTTGGCTGGCAGTTTAATGCTTTTATAATGCACTCGACAACAAATGGAAATGAGCAGTAACAAAGCAAATGGCAAAAGTATTTAAAGTTGCTAAACACACACACAGACACACACACAGACAGAGACAGAGACAGCAATCTTCTAGTTGACATCGCTTACAACTTTTAACTAAGCACATCTACACTTCTTAATGGGTTTAAAGTTGTGTAGCTGAATTTAAGGCATCTTCACGCCAAAAAATATATGTGTTACGTTAATTGAATTAAAGGCATGCCTCAGGATGTGGCAGGTGGCAGGTGGAAGGTGGTGTATGGTTGCAGGTGATGCCGAAAAACGACACCAGCTGCTTGTGGCATGCCAGGAATGAACAATGCAAAAGAGGTTGGGCGTCCAATGCCAGACGCCATTGCTAAGGTGCCAACAACAACAAAAACAACAACAGTAACAGTAACAACAACAACAACAACAGTAACAGTAACAACAACAATAACAATAACAACGTCATCAACATTTTCATGTCCGCCTTTAACGTCTGCTCGTTTCCCTCATCTTCAGCACTGGTCTTGACGAGGAGAGAAATGTAAAACACTTTTGGTATGACAACTGAAATGTCAGTTAAGCATGAATTGCTCTCCAGCAATCTTCAGTCATCCTCCTCCTGCCGTCTTAATGAAATTGTGTCTGCTCCGCTTCTCCTTCATTTGAACTACAGTTTTCAGTTGGCCAACTGATGGCAACTGCCTGCCCGCCTGCCTGCCTGCCTGTTGGAGGTGTTGTTATCGTTCCTGGTCGTTGCTGCTGTACTTGTTGTTGTTGTTGTCGTTGTACCTGCCAACAATTCCTTTGCACACTTATTTACTTTATTTACACGGAGTTGACTACGAATTAATTGAAAGCAGTTGCCAGCAAACGGGTGTCGAGTTTATGAATGTCGACAGTCAGAATCGTGCTGGCATTTCTCATGAAAGTACTTATTTATACAAATATATTAATTTATGTTACTCAATATGATTTTGGCTGGTAATTGCAACGATTTATGCTGCATGCAACCTTCTAAACACATTGTATGCGCAATATTGCGTATACACAATGTGGGCATTGTTTTTATTTTGTTTGTGCCCGCTGCTGTTTTTGCTGTTGCTGCCATTTCGGTGATAAGCAGCTGTCGCAGACATTCAAACACACACACTTAACCACACACACTCATACACACACACACACACACACACACACACTCACGCAGAGACACACACATAGACATTAGCTCATAGGCAGACAAACAAAGGCGCCCGAAAACTGACAATTGTTTAGCTGCGTGTGCATCTATGCTAAATTTAGTGTCTAGCTGTGTGTATGTGTGTGTGTGTATTTCCTTATGTGGCATCAGTTGACTGCACCTAGTTGGGGGCAGGGACACCCTTCTACGCTACATCGCTGCCATCAACTATAATGCGGGCCATCTATATGCGTGTAAACGTTTGCCTCTGTTTATATTTGCACCAACATTTGCATCGATACGTGTATGTGTGTGTGTGTGTGTGTGTGTATCTGTGTGTGTGCATATTTCAGTGGGCGTGAGACCTGTGTTTGACCGCCTGTTCTTGACATAACTATAAATAGTACACAGAACGTTGTCAACCTTTTGCTATAGGCTCGATTCCGAGGCGACTTGAATTCAGTTCATGATTCTTGTACTGCTCTAGTTATATAGATATATGTAATGATCGTATGTATAGATATAAATATATATATATGTATATATATAGACCAGTGGGCGTGTATTTGTTTATTCACTATGGTTTATTAAATTTTGGCAATGTTTTTGCGGGCACCTCCTTTATATGCAAAGAGTGGCCCCAACTACAACTATAACTGTTTATGTCGCTTGTCATGTAACTGCCACCCACAGCTCGCACCTTTAGTTGGCCCTTTCCTTGTTGCTTACCATCCTGCCGCCACCCTTTTGCTCACTACTAATGCGGCTGTTGTTTGTCAAACTTGGCTCACTCCCTTCAGGCTCGGAGATTTATTTAGTCCGAGTGTATGGCCACAAAACTTGGATTTACTTCGACACAATTGTCAGCTTAGTCACGTTTCGTGTTTCGTCTCTTGGCGCGTATGTGTGTGTGTGTTCGTTAGTGTGTGTGTGTGTCTGGGATTTACACACACAGCAACACACACATGCGCATACACCTACTGTAAGTACGTTAAGACTAAACACAACATATAAAGGTAAAAAGCCAAAGGCACGCGATGCGCATATTTTAGGTAAAAGTTGGTTTCTTTTTTTCTTTTTTTTTCTTTTCTCTTTTTTGCTATTGCTGTTTTTGTTCTTGTTTTGTTTGCTTTAGTTGCGGTTTTTGTATGCCAGTTAGTTTGTAACTGCTAGGCGGGGACTAAAGCGTGTTAGTCCCTTTTTGCTGCTGGCTACAATCAAACTTTGATTCAAGCCTGTTTACATGTTGATAACTTGATGCCGGCCTTAAGCTAAGGCTAAGTCTCTAAACACCAAGTCCAAGTTCCACGCTCAGCTCGTCTCCCAATCCTGATTTGGCTCAGTTGCGATTGAATGCTTATTTTGTGCTGCAGTTAATAAAAATTAAACACTGACCCAGTTTATGAATATCTGGCTCTTCAGAACTCTTTAGTTACCAGCTCGGTTCGAGCATTTTTGTGGTTCGCAAACAAACTTTGACAGCTTTGTCACATTTTCTTTCTTTTTGCTTGTCAAGCTGGGAGACGCGACGCCGGTTAATTGATTTTGTGGCATGCAAAGTTCACCAGACGGTGGCATCAAAACCGCAGGCCAGTCGCTTGCAACGATTTGAGTTCATCATTTTTTTTTCTTTTTTCTATTTTTGTCTGGTTGCTCCCTCCGGATGGCCTACTTAGTGGCAATGGCGCAACCCCTGCCTGTCTGTAATCCTATTAGACGAGAGGCGTCGTCTACCCAATCTTCCAACGGGTGTCTGCAACAAGCTTGTGGTTTTTACTTTATCGCATTGCCCAGAAGTAATGTGTAAGTACAACGATGAGTTGCGATAGAGACTTGCATACCTTAAGGCTTAAAGCGAAGCGACACCATCTGGCTAATTGCCTTCTGAGCGTGTTTTTGCCCATCTCTTCATTGCCTCGAGTAGCATAATAAATGTCAAGTGAGAATTTTGAAAGTGTTGCATTGTTGAAGATTTATTTGGCCTGACTGGAATTGTAACTTGTTAGACAGTGAAAAGTTTTCGGTGCGGTTGCAAAATGAATCTGAAATCTAATTTTGACGCTATATTTGACACATTTGGAGTACATTTCGTGTGGCGGCAAGTGGAAAAGTGCAAGTTTCAAAAGACAGCCAGCAGCTCGCAACTTGCAACTAGGTCGCTCCGCAACGCCAACTGCCACTCAATTCGCGGCAAATTACATAAATTAAGCGACTGTGGCAATTGCGAGCACAAAAGTAGGCAACACAGGAAATGCAGCAGAAAAGTTGCAAGCAGACCACCCCCCCCTCGAAAATAATATGAAGGCCAGTTGTGACAGATACTTTTGTGTGTATGTACATCTGTACGGATGTATTTATATACGGATGTATGTTCATTTAACTGACAGTTGCCAGCGGCTCATTAAATTTTCAAAGTGTCAAGTGGCAGCCAAACGGCCAGCAAAGCAAAATCAGCAATCATAATTGTGAGCTGTGTGTAATCCGTGTGTGTTTGCGAGTGTGTGTTGTGTGTGTGTGTTTGCGAGTGTGTGTTGATTGTGCTTAACCTTTTGTGGCCGTTGCTGTTGTTATTGTTGCCGTTGCAATGTGTTGAGGTGCTTGACATTTTGCTAGCGCCTCGCGCTATGCAACACGATTGCCTAACGCCACAGCCACAAACGACGCAAGTGCCGCAAGAGGCAGTGGCAAACCTCCAGCTGCAGCTCCAGTGCGCTCCATTGTCTGCAATGGCACAAAGCCTACAAACTTACTGCGCCTGACAAGCAAATTAAGCGCACAAAAGCAGAAAATAAAGCAACTCAAGTTTGCCACCATGCCACACACACACAGGCACACACACATCCATCCAATAGGCTCGCGAACGAGTGTGAAAAGTAAGGCGTATAAAATAGTAGTCGTAGTTTTCATCTTCTTTTGCTACCAGCAGAAATGCAGTTGGCTTGTTTTTGTTTTTGTTGGGTAAAAGTGCACCAGTTAAGCACTTTTGTCTCAATGAGTGTCAACAAGCGCACGCCCCATAAGAAACTGGGGGCATTCTCACACACACACACGCTGAGCTAGAGAGATACGCCAACAAGTCAAGTGTGACATTTTGTGTGTGTGTGTGTGTGTGTGCAAAATGGAGAAGAAAAAAATAATCGCTCTATTAATGAGCCTTAGGCCAAGTGCAACAAGCCGACAGACAATATGACCTGACCCAACCCAACCCAGCCCCAGATTCCATGCCCGCTTTGCTTTGACAGCTATTTAGTTCTTTTGTGTTTGTGTGTGAGTGTGCCCAAGGCATTTGCTTGTGTGTGTGTGTGTGTGTTGTGAGTAGCGTGTGGTCTGCTTTTCAAAAGACAAAAGAATTGCTTTAAGCGTATACTTTATTTGTTGAGTTCGGTTTACACCAATAACTATGCTGTACTTTTTTAAATTGCATAAAAATCTGCAATTGATTTATCAATGATTAAGTCAGCTCGAAAATGCACCTTTAAATATATGTGTGTATACACATATTGGGTAGTCTGCCCTAATTGGATTTCATATTTCGACGCAATCCATTTGAAGTTGCCATGCAAACGCTGGCGACAACAACAAATTATAATAGAAAAAAAAAGAAGAATATGCCAGTTAAGCATTCAGCATAAGCAACAAAGGCAGCCACATGAGTAAATATACATAATACTCAAGCATAAACACAACATCAACAACAGCAACATCAACAACAACAGCAACTTTTTTTTTATCAAATGAAAATTTTTGTGATGTTCGCGACAACGCTGCGTATACATTACAAGTTTCGCATTACAGCAAATCTAGGAGTCTGAATGGGGAGCAGTTGGTAACGACTTTAATTGGCCAAAGTTGAAAGGGGAACTGTTTTCAATACTGATTGTTAAACCGCTTGAAGTCGACGTGGTCAGCTTTTGACTTGTTGTTCGTGTTTGCCTTTTGTCGCTTCTGTGGTAGTTTGATTATTTATTATTTGGTTGCAGTAATGGGCACTTTACGGGGCAAACATTGCCAGCTTGCCACACTCCACTTGCCCTCAATTTGTGTTAATATAATTTAAAAATTTCTCAGCTATTTCTTTCATTTTTTTGTTTTTTTTTTTTTGCTTTTCGTTTTGGATACTTGTGCTTTTAGTGCACGTTGGAGAGTCGTAAATGGGATGCTTTGCTTTGGCTGGCACTCTTAATTTTTATTTGCCATTTCTGAGGGTTGCACACTGACCCTGCCACACACACACACACACGCACAAAACCCCGGCCGTCATGCGAAGTTTCGAGCACTTGAGAATTTTCTTTTTCCTTAAAGTTAACACAAAATTGAAAAATAGCGAAAGTTTTGAGGGTTAGTTGCCATGTTCTTGTGGTTTCCATATATTTCGTTTTCTTTGCGAATGCTTCTTTGGCGGCAACATCTTAAAGAGCGCGCACGCGTTTGAATATACACAAGCATAAAATGAAAGCAGTAGAAAAGAAGGCAGCGAACACAACTTTCGCTGTGTACGCACAACATTTTTCAAGTTTAGTTGCTGTTGCTGTTGCTGCCGCGGCCGCTGCCGCTGCAAAGTTTGTTCCTGGTAATTATGCGCCGTCGCATGCACAAAAGTTTCCATCTTCTTTGGGGTGCAAAGAGGCATGCGAATTATGATGATGATGATGATGATGTCAGAGGGTATAAGACGATGAGCGCTTACGTCAATTTTCAGGGCTTTGATCGACTCTCTTTCCTCGCTCTCTCTCGCTCTCCCTTTCTCTCTCTATTTATTTCTCAAGACATTTTCAAGCACTTCAGTTCTTGCAACCCTCTTTAAGCACATGACTTTCGTTTTTGTTTTTTTTTTTTTGAGTTTTGAGTGTTACACAATTTTTGCACTTAATTAAAAAGTTTGTGTTGCTTTGATTTCTACTCTGGATACAAAGTTAATTTCGTAATTAAAATCGGATAATTGCAATGCGCTTGGCAACCAGATGTACGTTGCCGATATGCAGATGCACAAGCATATGTGTGTGGCAGCCACACCGGCTTATGCAACTAACTATTCAGTGCCTACGCACAGGCGCAGCAGCAACAATTAAAAATAATGAAAAAACATTGCGGCGCCCAAACTACAGCTGCAGCTGCAGCTGCAACAGCAACGACAAGAACAACAAGCAAACACTGGCATTATGTAAAGCAATTAAAATGTAACAGCAGCAGCAGCAGCAGCAGCAAAAAAAACTCAGCATAACTTGAGCTACACACACAGACACACACACACACACACAAACACAGAAACACAACAAACAAACCGCTGACTTTTAATGGCATGCGAAATGTGTGCCAACTAGAAAGAGACCAAGTGGCATAGAGAAAGAGAGAGAGAGAGAGAGAGAGAGAGAGAGAGAGAGAGAGGGAGAGAGAGAGAGAGCAGCTAGAAAGAGTACGAGTATTTTGCATTAAACGTTGCTAAAAAGCATGCTAAAAAAACACACTCACAGAGAAAAAGCAGCTGCTGGCATGTTTTCCAACTTGAAGCTAAACCCCATGATTAAATAAATTGTTGAAAAATGTTAAACAAGGCAACGATACACGACCCCCCTCCCTCACCCCACATACTCTAACAAACGTAAGCACTTGCAGCTGCACCTCTGTTACGCTGTTCCGCTGACCTGCCACAAAATCTATAAAACAGCTACAGGCAGCAGCAGTTAGAGAGAGATGGTAGCGCCTTCTGTTAGGCAACATATTGCAGTCAAGGCCTCGCTGCGTGCATTTTTTAAATGCTTGCCGCTTCCTTTTCGCGTTGTTGTTGCCGCTCCACGGTTGCCGCAACGCGGCGCATGTGGCACAAACGGAAGCTGCTGTTTGGCTCACATAAATAATAACAATAGTGGGGCACGGCGTATACCAAATGCAGCATGTGTGTAAGAGTGTTATGTGTGTGTCTGTGTGTGTGTGTGTTGGGAAGGGGGTAGTATGGTGTTGTGGCAGCAACACGTGTAACAACAGTTGTTACTACTCCCCCCTAAGCACCGACACCAGCCCATTTGCTGTTGTCCTTTATTGAAACTATTTACGTTGTGTTTACAAGCCAGTGTGTGTGTGTGTGTGTGTGTGTGTGCGACTCTATCTATTGTATTAGGCATACATGTGTACCTGGATGCTTTTCAAATTGAATTTAAAAATGGCCAACTATTCGGATAGTGTTGGGCGTGAGGTGAACATGTGTTTGCCGTGTTGCCTATTTTAGCTTATTGGCTCGCAGGCTACAAACACAATTTTGTTAATTAAATGTAAAAATATTTGCATAAGCTTGCTAAAAACAAATGCCTTGGAATCCTTAATAAGCCGATCTCAGGTTGAAAATAAACTGTTGTAAATTTTAGCTCTTAGCATGTCGAAGCTATTCAAAACTGTACATTTTTTCTTGTTTAAATTAAAGACATTTGGAAACAGCTTAGGGCCAACACTTAAGGTGTTGTAATAGTGAGAATAATATACACTTATCCTTCTACTAATAGTTCCTTTCTAGTTGCCAATTCACATTTAAAGTCATCTATAGTTGCATACCTGTAAATAAAAGAGAATAATAAAAATACTTTAGTTGTGTGTTAAATAATGTGCAAACACGAAGCTAAGTTAATCAATGGAATCAAAGAGTTAATTTTAAGTCAAAGTGGTGCTTAAAAAACAAAAACAAAATATATATATTTTTTTGGCTGAATCATATAAATAATTTAATTTGCTGCATTTTGCGGCTAACCGCATTGCATTTTGTTTCTGTTATAGCTCTTATGTGTTGCAACTGAATTTTATAAATTTATTCAATTGCAGTGTTTATTTTGCAACCACACTGAGCGTTTTTGTGTGTTGTTGTCGGTGCTGTTGTTGATGCTGTTGCATTGTCAATGTCACTTGCAGCAATTACCGACACCGAATTACTTTGACAATTTTGCATATTATGATGTATTTTTATTCGGCTTGCGTTTATTTAGCGTGATATGTATTTGGCAGCATCACGCTGCGATCCGATATAAAGTGAAAAGTTTATATTATTAAAATAGATTTAAAAAAAAAAAACCTTGAAATTTATTCAACTTTCGCCCAATGCAGCTGCATTTTCAAATGCATTCAGTTTGACTCGCAGCAGAGGCGTCAACGTTGGCTATCGTAATAAAAATTGTAAAATTAATTTAAATGTCTCGCTAATGAATGTTTACAGCGATCATATTTTGTATGCAAATGATAAATAAATGACCCAATGTGGCACCCCCATCCACCCCCCCATTGTCATGTTAACTATGGAAAATACAAAATATGGAAATCGAAACTTCTTGCATAAGCGCCACGCTGCGCAAAGTGACAAAAAATTAGCCACAGTAACCCGATCTGATACGATTGAGTTCCAGATGCAGATGCGAATGAGATACGAGATTCAATTTTCTGTCATCTGCATATTAACGGCATTAAATGTCAACTGCCATGTTGCCCGACACTTGCCACGCCGCTTTTTTCTTCCACTAATGTATAAGTCTCTCTCTCTATATATATGTATATATCTATATATATTCATTTTTTGTGCTTATTATCATTGTTTGTTACGGTCGTATCTGAGTATCGTTAGCGAGGAACTGTGAAATGATTCGAAACTGATATGCAAATTTTTGGTTGCTTGTTCCGCGCTTGAAAATCGAGTGAAATTTGTGCTTTGAACTGAAATTGACTTTTGATTAATAGGCGACAGTTTGAAATGCGTTTGGTGTGGCTCTGAACTCTGCAGGGGGTTACACACACACATACATATGTGTTGCGTAAGCCATGCCAATCAGACAGAGTTCGACGCGCTGAACAACAACAACAAAAGCCGTGTCAACTGTTGCACTTATCAAGCTTCGTTAGCTGTGCTGCGTACAACAAGAAAGACTTTGAACATTTTTTGACAGGCACGCAGTCATTTGGCAACATTTTTGCGTAGGCAGTGCATTCAGATTGTGGCTGGCCAGAGTTACCAATTTCAATTACAATGCCAATTCCAAGAGCGAAACCTGGTCTTCGACAAAGCGAAAAGCAGACAATCAGTTTTTGCTCTTGTTCTTGTTGCAGTTGCAGTTGTTGCAGCTTGCCGCGTACAGTAGCCACAAGCATATGTCCAAACATTCCACTGGTAAATGGGAGGAACACCGGGCGAGGTTGCAACTTGCAAAGTTAATGACTTTGGGCTTAACAACAATGTAAGTAAAATTTCCTTTTTTGTGCTTATGCAATGATAATAAAACGCAGCCTGTGTGAGCTAAGCTACGGAGAAGCAGAGCAGAGGCAAAATATAAATGAAATAAATTACTGCGCAGGCGCAACTGAAGCAACAGCAACAGCAGCAACAACAGCAGCAACAACAACTGAAACAGCGGCTGCATTCAAACAATGAGCATGGAGCCAGTGTTCTCAACTCTCGATTCGAGCAATTTGAATGGACGTGCTCCTGAGGCTCTGTAGAGGCACATATGTCTGGCGACTATGTGTGTGTGTGTGTGTGTGTGGGTTCCACAAGCGGTCTTCATTTGAATGCGCAACATGTTGTGGCAGCATGCAACGACCTGTGCCTGGTCAGATGCGCACAGCAACTGCTGCTACTCCTACGGCTTCATTTGCCATTATCTTGCCGTTGGTTAGTTAGTGCGCTTTAATTTATCGCTGCCAACATTTTCTGTCTGCCATCGTCTGCATACATGTATGCTCTGAAGATTCTTAATACACCTACTATAACTACAACTGAAACTGCAACTGCAACAATAACAACAACAACAACTACTAGCTACAATGCCACGAGGCAAGTCAATTGTCCGTTTCTTTGCAAAGCCTGGCCGCAGTTCCCATATCGCCATCATAAATTGCTGTTATTGTTGTTGCAATCTTCTTTTGAAGGCATGCAAATATGACACACAGCCTTCTTCCCGCAACTCACCAGAAACCTGATTTTTTGCACTCCCCCCTCGCCCAGCTCTCCTGCTTCCAAAGCTGTCTGCTTGGCTGCCCTGCTACTTATTTGCTTATTGAGTTTATTATTGTTGTCGTTATCTCAGATGTACCCACGTTGTTGTTGTTGTTGTTGCTGCTGCTGTTATTATTTTATTGTTGTTGCTGATTATGGTCGTTGCTGCTGGTTATCATTATGTTTATTATTGCACTCGCTTAACAGCAGCCTCCGCACGCGCCCCATCACGATGCTCAGTTGCATTAATATGCACATCATTTTTCTGCTAATTTAATATTCCCTTTCATTGTTCACTACACACAAAGACTCATGTCCTGTCTCTGTCCCTTCAATTGATCTTAAAGCGAACTATGAACACAGTCTAATTTCACTTTTCGAGCTCAATTTCAGTTTCAGTTCTTCGTTGCTGGTTGCGTTTCCTGGGCCATGCTTCTCTGTCGTTTCGACGGCTCATTTATACTGGCCAGCAATCTAAGGGCCGGTCGAATGCCAAACTGACAAATACAAATGCATATGGCTGTTTTATCTGCGTGGAGCATGTCAGGACTTTGGCCAGGCAATGCATCAAGTGGGTCGGCATTCTGACCGCCCATACGGCAGCTTGTCGCTGTGAATTGTCCATTGTCGTTGCCTGCTTACCATTTACCATTTTGAAGCTTTTCTACTTCCGGCCAATGCACTAAGCCGTTTCCGTGTGTAGGTAGGCAGGCAGGCAGGCTGGCAGGCAGGCAGGCAGGCTGGCTGGCAGGCAGACTGGTCTGTTGTCAAGGATCTGTGCCATACACTTTGGGCATGGCTCGAGTTCATAATCTTGCCACTCAAATCGCTAAGCAG